GTAAACATTAATATTAATAATTAAATTAAATTAAATTAAAAATTAAAATCCTAAAGTAGTAATTAATTTTTTAGGGAGTTAAGAACTGAGCCAATCAAGAGATGAAATTGCTTGAAGGAAAATAAAGTGAAGTGGTTGTGAATAAATGTAACTGTTTGTAATGTGAAATGTGTTCTGTTGAAAAGGTGTGTAGAAAAAAAAAAACAAAAAAAAACGTTAAGTGAAAAATTTTTTTGTGTGAAAATTGCAAAATTAAAGTAAGTAAGAAAACTGAAATGTTTTAATATTAATGTTTTAAAGTTTTAAAGTAAAATTTCTCAAAAATTACTTTAGGAAGTTAATTAAAACTTAAATTTAATGGAAGAAAATATTAAAAGTTTAATGAACTTGATTTCAATTGGTATATCAAAACTTAACTAAATACTGGCTAAAGTATGGAAAATTAGAAGAAGAAGATTAAAATCTTCACTCAGTTCGGGCTATAATTGAGACTTTTAAAAAGAGTTGTCCCTTTATTAGTAAAATGAAAGAATCCAGTATTGATTAAATATACATATTTACAAAATATTTACAATGAAAATTTACAATAATTTCTCTAGTCTTCTATATCCTTCATTACCCTCCAGCTAAGGTTTAAGGTAATGTTATCATATCCAAAAGAGCCAAAAAATTATAAAGTAAAGTTAAGGCCTGCCTTTTTAATATATAAATGAATAAATTTTGGTGGTACTTGTTTATCAACTTTTACATTAATTAGCTTTATTATTTCTTCCTTTAAATCGTCTATTTCAGTACATATATTTTTTATTCTGATAATTTGGCTATAGATATATGATGTACCAGCTTTAGTCGTAGCTTAAATTATCAGACGATAAGTTTAAAAAACAGGATCCATTTATTATTGGTCAGAAGAAATAGCAGTTACAAAATTCATATCTCCGGAGTAAATTAAAAAGAACTACTAGTAACTTTTTATATGAAGTTTACTGCATTGTTACATTAAAGAAAAGCCCCCGATATTCTTTTGCGAGTCCTTTTATAGCCTCTGGAAAGGCGGCGCTTCAAAGAAATGCCGTCAGCCTCGTCAGCCAATCCAGTTCGCTTTAAATATCTCTAGAACATTCTATAATTGTACGTGTAGAAAAGGCGGGAAAAACAACTTGACTACGGGGCTGTAGATTTAATTTCACGTACTTTCAAGCAAGAGAACGTCGCCATTAAAAATAAAAATAACATACAGTTAGAATTTTAAGTGTATTCTTTACTATTTTATTATTACATATATATTTGTGAGAGAGTTTATCAATATTAGTACAAAATTTATTCTGTGCGATCTTACAGTAATTTAAATGCTAAACTACTGGAACTGTAAAGGATAGTGGGTTCTGTCATATCTGTGACAAATTTACCTCAAACTGAAGGTTTGGAATAAACCTATCTAAGACCCTTGTATAACCGTCATTCCAACGGTTATACAAACCGGCCCAATTACAGAAATCAACTCCTCAGCTTATAAAAAATATACATAAATCTTTCAAACAAATTACAATATGAAATATCAATTTAACACTTGCCCAAATAACCTCGATCGCTGGCGCCAAGTATTCGCGAAGCTAACGCAACTTGCCGAAGGTAAAGCTGTTACATCAATTCAAATAGTAGAAAGAAAGGTTAGAAAGGTTTCTGAAAGCTTTTTGCATTTACAATTTATGAAAATTTGCATTGTGATGGACTGTGACAATCTTAGAATGGAAGTTCACGTTGAATAATAATATCACTAATATAACTAGGTTAATTGACGTGAAACTTTAGAATCTGGTATTCACTAGCAGTTTGTTATTTCTATCTATTTTATAAGCCAAAAAACTTTTCAAAATGATTAATTAGGAACTTACTTTTTATTATTAATTTTTATATGCTCAAATATTTTCACTGATTTCTACTCTGACTAACTAATTAAAATTTAAATACGTGTTTTGTGAACATAGATTGTAAATTACTGTTGCATTTTTACTTTATAATTATTTAATTTTGCTGTTGCCATTTAGAGACTCTTTCGCGAAAATATGTAATTGCAATTTAAGAATTTCTGTCGTTTACTTGTAATGTTGCAGTGTTCCAATATATAGATTTAATTTACCAACAAGGCGATTACAGAACATCCTGATTAATTTATTTTCAGATGTTAAAGTGTAATAAAAAGCAGTAAAATCTCAAAAGCTAACGAGTATTTTCACAAAATAAGATTTGCGTTATAAAGGTATTGAACAAAGACATTAATTTAAAAAATAAACCGATTGCGGAAATTAAGATGAAAGCTCAGCCGAAATAAAAAAATTAAACGAATTTTGTCACTGTATTTAAAACGACCGTTTTACTCTTTATAATGTTTAAACCAGGGTTAAACGTTTTTCAGTCGCGACCCCTTTTTATCACTGAGATTTTTTCGCTACCTCCAGGAGCTTATAATATTTACAAAACTTTTGTGGGACCCCCATAAGTTTGTGCAAATTCGACACACGCGTGAGTGAAACTATCAGTACTTTCACTTATACTGTAATTCATCGTAGTATTGCAGTTTTAGGTCATTAACTTTAAATTCTAATTTTAAGGCATAAAACAATGTGAAAAGTTTAAATAAGTAACAGACGAAATGACAGTGTCACGTACAAAGCAAGGAAAATGAACGTTTTTATTATAAAAAGAATGAGTCGAAACGCTTTTTTCTTATTTTTTGTCTGTATTGTCTTCTCTTTATCTATTTTCAGATGCATTGCGTAAAAATATTTGGTAACTGTAAAACTATTTTAATAAGTTAAAGAAATATCAAAACTGCTAAAATGATTTGGGACCCCCTGCAGCAGCGACCCACAACTTAAGAAACCCTGGTTTAAACGAAGAAAATATTTCATATCTCGAATTGAATTAACCGTCATAAAAAATTCGACATTACTTTATATTCTATAAATTATCCAAATATAGAGCTTGATTTAATTTAAATTCACTGCAACGAATATATTTTAAAGTTTGGTTAATTACTGTATGTTCTCTCAGACATGGACCTTATAAGAAATAGACTAACCCAAATGGCTTTTCTCCCTCTTCTGACGCATTCCCGGCTGTCACCTTGATCACATCCGGAGGAGTAGGGACGACTTGCAGAAACTTATAATGGTTGCTTAATACAGTGGGTATAACTGTCAAGAAAAACTTGGTTGTATTAATTATAAAGCTGTTGCATGCTTTCAGGCCTGGCTATTTTTTTAGCTTTTCCTATGCTATAAAGAAATTTGTAACTACTTCTTTTAGAAAAAAATATTTTAAATCTGAACTAATAGAAATTTCAAACAAAGAATTTTATCTTATATTTTTATGCTTTTTATTGGTGTAAATAAGTAAAAAAATACTAAAATACCTAAAAATGAATTTTTAAAAGTTTTGCTTAAATTTTAAGTTTGTGCTGCTTTTTAAGATTATAGGCGAATATACAGCCTATTTTATATAAGGAGTTTTATTTCAATTATATTTCACAATACATCATAGTGATAAACACTTTTAACACCTTAATAATTTTTATGCATTTAATTCTAATGTCAAAATTGTAACTGTAATAATTGATTGTGCTAACATTTTATAGTGATTATTTTTTAAATTTAAATCTAATTCTGCATAAGATTTTTTTTATTTACAGTGAATTTAATTTATTTGCCCAAAGGGGTGGTAGTCGAGAAAGGCTATTAGTTTCGAAACGTATTTTGCATTTAAACGTCCGTTTCACTTTGCAAATTGTTGCCTCCAAATATTATCGCCTTGTATTATATTTAAAGAAATTTAATAATAAATAATCGGCATGAATACATGTATGTTTCTCGCATCGTGAAAAAACGACGGTATTTAGAGTCCTTAAATTTTGAACAACGTGATCCTCCACCCGAACAGCCGAATTTCGAATTTGTTTTAATCCATTTCATATTTCGTAAACTTTAATGAATTATTGATTAAGAAACTCAACAGTTTCAAGCGAGCAATGGCACCTGTGCGAAAATAATATTTTATCTCCAGCGCGAAAATTCTAAAGATATGATTTTTCAATATTTTGTGATACGCTGTTGATTGAATTTTTGTGTTTTACGTGCGAAACATGATATTCAATAAATAGGGTACACACAAGCGTTAAAAAGCGTCCTTTTGAGCGTAACATAAATCTGAGTGCTCCCAGATTTTATTTATTAATTTATTTTCATTACACTGAGAAAATGAAATTAATGAATTATAAAATAATAATCATCATATGATTTAATAATTAAATCATAAGATCAAATAAATGATCGTCTTGTAATGTTATAAAAATTTTATAAACCACTGCCTGAAAAGCTCATAAAATTTAAAATTATATATCAGATCTTGTTTAATTTGCTTTATTTTCTTTCAAAGCTCCATTACTATCAATCTATTTAATTTTACGTTTTTGTACGCAAAATTAGTTAAATAATTTTGTGCTTTCACCGTTTTACCAAAGTAAAGATGTTTGTACACGAATTACGCGTGGGAAAAAAATGCGCGAAATGCAGTAAAAAGTGCTTTAATGAGATATATTAAATCCTATTTGGAAAAACTGTGGTTTTCATAATCTCATCACTATACAACGTATCACATTTAATAACTAGAAAGAGTTATGTGATATCAAAGCCATAGGTTTCAGTGTTAAAGTAAACCAGATCGTCCCTACTCTTTCTTGCCGACATGTCGGTCACGCGCGCCCCGCCCACTGGGTTAGTCTATCTCTTATAAGGTCCATGCCCTCAGAAAGATTACGTCACTTACTCTTAATGTTTATTCACGAGTAGAAAGATCCACGAATATTAAATTTATGGATATTCTTGGAATCATTTTTTATTATCTCAAAATAAACAGTTCGCTTACGTGAATGATTCATCCTGAGCTGCTAGACGCGAACGTGTAAGGTCGAAAAGGTGATTTATGATTCATGATGAAATAAAACAGATGTTTTCGACTGTATCCAGCTCACATTATTTCGACGAATTTCTAATCTTTCTGCGCATATTTACTTTTTATTTATGACCAATCAGGTGCTTACTTGGATCAGGCTTGACACTCATGCTTCCGTTTCGTCAATTACTAACCATTTGCTGGGAAGTTGCCAGCTATGGATAAACCAAAATGCGGTTGCGGTGCTGCGAAGAGATGTGATGATAAACGTGACTGCTGTCTGGCGAAAGCAAGCCAGAATCGTACTGATGGAAGAGTGAAAAAGGTATGTCCTTACTTTTTAAATGCCAGCTGCAAGTTCGGTAAATATTGTTGGTATGATCATCCAGATCTTGCAAAGTCTGTTGATTCATCTCAAAAAGAAACGTCAGCCCAAAACCAACTTGATAATCGGCAAAATGAGACTACACCGCAAAGTATTGATTCCCACCCTCGTTTACTAGTTCGTGATATGCCAGAAGAATATATACCTTATGAAATCACATTTTCTCCACGAGATCGGATAATCACAAATATGGGACATCATTACCAATGCAGCAAAATTTCTTCTGAATGTTATTTTTCGTGTGGTGATCGTTGTCGAAATACAGTTCAAAGATCTGAACGGAACCTGCTAGTGGTTGATAATTTCAAAACATCCCATCAAAAGGGACAAAAATCCTGTGACGGAGTTAATCGGTTAGAAAATTGCGATGATAAGTTTGAAAAGAATTCAGATTTTCATGAAGCTTTCGGTTTTGTACATTCTCAAAACCCTGTTAGGCCATCTGAGATTACGACCCTTCAAAAAGGACAAAAATTCTATGACGGAGCTAATCGTTTAGAAAATTGCGATGAGAAGGTTGAAAAGATTTCAAATTTTCAAGGAGCTTTCGGTGGTATAAATTTTCCGAACCCAGTAAGGTCATCTGAGATTATGAGCTTTCAAAAGCGGCAAATATTTTATGACAGAGCTAATCGTTTGGAAAATTGCGATGATAATTTTTTAGCTTTCGGTGGTTTAGATTTTCCAAACCGAGTGAGGTCATGTGAAATTACTCCTAAGCAGACGTCAAGTAATGCTTCATACATGATAGAAGATGAACGTGAAATCAGTGACCGTCTGTTAACTATTGATTTTCCGTCAACTAATAGTGAGTATGATAATACCCGCACCTTAACGCAGGGGGTAAAACCTGGCAAATCTAAAGAGAGAGATCATGGTCAAGATTCGGATATTTTGTGCTTTGTTACGAATTGTCAGAATACTCCCACTGATTGCACTGTAGCCGTAGTGCTTCCACCTATTAACAAAGAGATTTATAATACATGTGCGTTAGCAGAAATGCATTCATTGAAAAACAAAAAAAGAAGATATTCTGATACGACCTGTGGAGAAGTATTAGGTAATTTGTCTTCTGCAACAAAGTATGCTTTCTCTGATACTGAAAAGTGCCATGGACACGCTTCTGCACCGCTTTTAGCTCAGCCGCAATATCTTCCAACAAATTGTAACTCTGAAAGAAGTAATGTTACCAGTTTATCAGAATGTTGTATATGCAGTGGCCAGCACTCCAGGAACGATAAGATGATTCATGAGACGTGTTCTTATTCGCATGCAACAAATCCTTTGCCTTCAATGGAACTTTTTCAAACTGCATTCTTGGTTGGAAGTCAAAGAAAACCTTCCTATTATAAACCAGGATGGTTTCTTAACAGAATTGAAGCTGGTCCTTCCCATGTTGCTTCAAACTGCTCCATTGCAAATACAAAAACGGTATCTAGTGGGTATTCCAGTAAAGCATTCATACTTCCAAATCTTTTGGGAGATGATATTCCCTGTGACAAAGTAAGATGCTATCCTTATACAAGTACCAATTACGTCAAGAAGAATGCTGAAGTATCGAGCATAAGTAAAGAGGTTTGTGATAAGTGTTATATTGAATATTTGATTATTAATAATGTTGTTAGCCAAAGTCTTGCGAGACTAGGAGAGAGTATAATGAAAAAAATTTGTTGCATTTGTTTGGAAGATGTTTATAGCAAATCAGATAGAGCAGACCGTTGGTTTGGAATACTGCGAAACTGTAAGCACTCTTATTGTCTGAAATGCATTCGACAGTGGCAAAAGACGAAAAATTTCCGCTTAACTCCATGCCCTGTATGTAGAGCGCTTTCTAGCCTTATAATTCCTAGTGAAATCTGGGTTGAAGATGATAACGAAAAAACGGAGCTTATCGAAAACTATTTTACGTCTAAGATGAAAATAAGATGTGGCCACGTGTTATATAAGCGTCGCTTGTTTTTAAACCTTTCAAGTAGTAATTGTGTATCCAATTAGAATCAAAAGATCATATTCAGTGACTATTTCTTGATATAAAATATATTATTAAATTGTGAATGACACTGAATATATTGTCATCGTACTACGCCAGAGACCCTAATCTATAAAGTTGTCGTTTTGGGAGAGAAGAAGGTCCTTAAAAAGTTTGATATGTGTTTGGCTTTATGTAAATTCGAATTAGAACTTTTAAAGAATATTTTGTTTGCCCTCATTTCAATAATATATAGCTGTTTATTAGCATAATTCGAGACATCAAAAGATATAGTATGGAAGTAAAAAGGGTTAATATTTGTAGTTCTAATATAGCACAGAGTGGGTGTTGAGAATTATTTCTTTACAATTTGTGTGTTTAATTCCAGTTCATAGGATTTTAAGAAATACTATGAGAATATTACTTAGTTCATATATTTTATTTTATTCCTTCTAAATGTGTAACGCATTTCGGTAATATCCTAATACGAAGGATGTGTTCTATTAAAAAAAGATAAAATTATTGTAATAAGTTAAGTTATTACTATCTGTTAGTGGAATTATTTTATTACAACCATTTTCTCAATCGAAATTAAGGAAAATATTATTAATTTTGCAATACATATGTTGGCTGTAATAAATATTTTTAGATTTATCTGATGTGTATTTGAATGGTTATAGTATGTAGAACCATTATTTTAGAAAAGCGTGTTTTCATACATTATAACTTTTTTTTATTATAAAGCGCATACGTTTTTTAAGACTTTCATTTAATTAAGTTTTGCCGAATTTCAAAAGCATGTTTACTAGACTCAAATATTTCGAATGTATGTACGAAAATTAATTGAAAGAAATATTATTTTATGCTTAACATTGTGATTCTAAAACATTCGACAAAAAATGTAAAGGTAGAAGGGGCTGAAATAAGCGAATTTTTAATGAAAAATCTATGTCTAGAAATTGAATTTTGTCTGTTGGAGCTATAGATAGAAAAGAAAGATATTCAAAGGAGGTACTCGAATCATTTGAGTGGCTGTTTCGTTTTAGCCGCAACTCCGTAGATAAAATGAAAATGTTGGTAATCCCCGTATTCGTGTACTTACACCACTCCATATTCACACATAGCATGACGATTTACGCCACTAGAACGATTTTACCTACCCCTAGCCTCTTGGTATTTCAAAGAAAATACCTCTTCCTTGCGGCGTGTTTTAAAAAGTTGGGCTATTTTAGCGAAACTCCGTGCCAGCCAACAGAATCCGACTAATATAGATACGGTTTTAAGAAATGGTAATATTTACGGCAAAATTGAAAATTAAATACCATAAAAATACACTCGAGTTTTAGAAAAAAATCACGTTTACGAATGTAAATAATGTCTGATGGAGTGCGAAAGTATGGATACCATTCATATCTAAAAAAATGTTGTCTATGTTTAGGAAATTGGGAGGTACCATAATTAATGAATGAGTTCTGCAGTTTCAGCCATCATAATTCGAATGTAATACTGCAGTATAAAATATCACGTTTGCGGCTCGGCTCATCGCCGATGAACCGCGAGCTTGGCGAGTAAAAATGCAACGGGTTCTCTGCGGAGGAAAACCCAAAGACCTTGTCGCATATAGGAAAAATATGTTAGTATTTCAGTTTTAACAATTGCATGGCCTTCTGCTGTCGTTAAAAACGTAACACATATATATAACTGCCTCTTTACTTTGTTATATGTACCTTTATCTTAAAAACTGTGTATTATAATGCATTGTTTATTTCGAAACTGGTTTAAAAACTATTTGGTAATAGTTAATGAAATATTCTTGATTATTTTTGTGTAATACGTGAATGTAATTTGGCTTCTTTAAAGTATGATTAGGTTTGGCATATTTTTGATTTGTAAATCTAGTCGTATATTTTTGGTTTATACCTACCTATACATGCTCTATTTTCTGTATCTTATTTTAATACTTGCTGATATGATTTAATTAAATCCAGAAATATTGTCTAATGCGTAGATGAGTGAATGCATAGTTTTTTTAGTTTAATGCCAAATTAGTGATATGTTTAATTATTATAATAATAAAGTTTGTTCATTTGCTGCATTTTTATGAAATTTTGTCTGATGACACTTGAAACATATTCGCTTATTGCTTCAATGTAATGTTTGTTGTTATGAAATTGTGTTGATAGTTTGAAATCATATTATTAGTAAAATAGATATCGTACTATACAACCCCGCTTGCAGGAAATTTGCATAATCGAAATCACTTTTACCTAGAAACTAAAGATAAACTAAGACTAAGAGACTGAATTGGTCGAAAACTAGTCGTTTTTGTTATTTAATAAGCGTTTTTTTTTATATTGTCATTTTAAAAATTTTACATAAATTGTATAATATATGATTTAAGTAACCATAGAACATTTTCAAGAAAAATGGGCTGTGAAACGTTTGACCATATTTAAGATTTTATGTTCATTGATAAAAATATCAGTTAAAAGATGATGTATGTTAAGACAATATATGTTAAAATAGTTTACTGAGAATGAGTGAAGTGTTGTAAGTCAAAGCAAGATTTCAGTAAATTACTAAAATTTTCCCCTTTCATATATCCTCTTGAATTTTTGCCATTCTCCTAAGAATGATGTCTTCTTGCCACACAAGAAAGCGGGGGGAGGGGGAATGTTGTGCTCATTTCTGTTTTGTCCTGAAAAATAAACATTTGTTTTTATCCTAATTACAGATGCATATTGAGTAAAATAGCCGAATTTGGACCGCCTTAATATTTTATAACATAAAGAAAATTAAAGTAGTTGGAAACATTGTTCCTAATTATGTTTCCAAACATGCATTGTACTTTTAAGATGCAGTTTAGAATAATGAAATGCCAGTAAATCAAAACTGTATTATCGATTCAATCACGGAAACTAGTTAAAACTGCTCAACGGTTTCTCTGGTCATAGTTGGAGCAAGACACCTTTGACTTCTGAAATCGCTTTGGTATATTATGCTTAAATCGAAATGTAACATTTTATAGTTTATAAGGTATTTTCTCTCCCTTTTCATCCCTTCCAGCATGCCTTCAAGATGTAACGGTAGTTAGAACATATTAAGATATTAAAAATGATTAGAATTCAAAAACGAAGTTTCGTATTTCAAGGATTGGTAATCCCTGAAAAGTGTTAAAAGAGAAAGCGTTTGATTTACCTAATGCTTTACTTCATTCGCAGACGAATTTTTCTAGCAATTTGTCTGTCACTAATAGTTACTTTTAGGTATTTTTACAACGACTGTACTCGTTCAGACCATTGCGATGTCGTGTACGCCACAGTAACCATTAAATCACTTCCGGTCTAATGCTATTGATGCCACCTTTTAGGTGAAACTAAAATGAAAAGATTATTAGAAATATTATGTTCCAACTAAACCTTTCCATGAATTATTCGGTTTTATTCAAAATTGCATGGAAACTGGCTAGTCGCCTGAACTGAGTGGGTCCAGTTCTGGCAATTGCATGTTGTCAAATCTAAAACTCTTGTTAAAATATTTAAAAACAGTTATGTTAATCTGACAATTTAAATTTATTTTCGAATCTTTCACAGAAAAATCGTAACAACATGAATTTAGTTTCGATAGTAATAATAACATTGTCATATTTTACTTCTAAATTTGAAACAGCCTAGGTATTATTGGCATTAAATTATTGCATATAATTGATAATTTTCAAATGCGAACACATTTGTATTTAATACAGACGCAAGGAGCTCACTCGTATAAGAAATGTTCATGTATACAATGAAGCTAAACCAAGGCTTCATTTCCACCAGTCAGTTTACATATTTAAATAAAAATACGTTTAATATAAATATTTGTAAATTTAATATAAATATATTGCCAAAAATTATATGCGTTGAAATAATTCTTTTCTGTGAAAACAAGTCTCGTTTATTGGTATTGGAAAATATTGTGCTTTAACTCCTTTTGCAACGGGGTTCTGTAGCATGGCTCTCTGTTTTCTTGATAGTTAAGTGTAATGTTTAATCAATAGAAGTGTAGTTCGTTTTAATACTATCCGCAACTATTCTGCATTTTAGTATGGTATATATGTATTATATATCTTTTATTGATTTGTTTAAAGCTATATCCTTGTCATTAATCAAATGAGTATATTGGTATTCTGTTTTAATGCAATATTATAAAGAATAGAAATATTATGTTGAAACTCAGTGGATACCGAGAAAATAATATCTTCTATGTAACATTTCAAGTAATTATGTATTTTTGTATGTGTTATAAATAAAGATTTTGGAATCGAATTGATATTGAATTATTTAATTAGGGAAAAATCAAGCGTTTTATATATATAAGTGAAGTAATGCTTTTTTGTAATCTAAAATGTCTTGCAGATATGTCATTGCATGTAGCAAAATATAAGCGTTCTGTGGTTAGTTCGTTCATCTTCCAGCAACAGAAATCCCTAGTTGCTAATATTATGTAGATTTAACTCATCCGCCATTAGTGGGGAAACGAATTTTATATAAAAAAGTTAAAAAACTACTACTATTAATTTATTACAGTATCATCCTGACTGTACGATTGCCTCGTATATTAAGGATTTATCAATATTATACACAAGACGATCTTGCGTTTTTGGAAGTGTTTCAAAATAAATAATGCTATTCTTAAACGGCATCGGATACATTCTCTTGATGAGTTCTAAGTATAGCGGTGAAAAAATATTGAATGATAAAGCGTGTCTTTTAAAATGTAAATATGTTTCGCTTAAAATAAAGTAAATTTCGAATTATATATTTTCTGCTGCAGGCTATGCACATAAGAAAAAATTACCTTCTGAAAACAGAAGGTAATTTTTAGGAAAGCGGACATATTTCAAGCTTCTGCGCAGTGCTTACAGTGCCATTTTTAATTAAGAAGTATACCGTAGGTAATTAAATGAAGTATATATTTTAATTATTAGCCGTATGCTATGTGGTATAAGCTTGTAAAAATTTATGACAAAACAAACGTCATTAATTTAAGTGCTGAATTATAGCTGTTACTGCAGTATTCATGAATTTGCATGTAAATACCGAGTCAAAAAAGGAATAACTGGATTCTGGAGGGAAAAAAATTAATTTGGTGGAGATTCTTGACTTGTTAAATAATCAGACATAAACAAAATCTTGACATGTGTTGAGCCCCAAAAACTGTTAAATTCAACAAAATCGAATAAAACCAGTTAAAATATTTTATTTCGATACTTTGGGAGTATTAATTTTACTGATGTCCAGCCATGGACGTATTAAGATTTTAAAGGTCCTAAGCACTTAAAATGTTTTGGGGCTTCTGCATATATTTATACTGTCTGAACTTCGTAAAATAAAAGAACTATCTTCTCACACGGGAAGGGAAAAGGAAGAAAATTATTTCCACCTAAAAAAAACAAAGAATTAATTATATTTATATAATGAACTTAACCTGTTTGTAATAAATACGCAAAATATTTTAAAAGAATGTTAATATTCCCAATATTCTTAGCCATATGTGACTAAAACTATTTTGGCATTGCTAACACTGACAAGTTTTTAAATGAAAATGCAAATGACCAAGACTTTTATAATGGTTTAAAAAAATTAATCTTTATATTATATAGTTCATGGAAAGACTTTTATAATGGTTTAAAAAAATTAATCTTTATATTATATAGTTCATGGAAAACATAACAAAGAAAGAAAGTCGTTAGTCCGGAATGTAAGGAAATAGTTCCTTTTTATCAGCTTAAAGGCGAGGTACGTATGACATCAACGCTTTCTTATCAAAGCAATCCGATGAGTTTGGCGACCGACGATTGCATTTAATTCTTTAAATTTCTGTTTGGTTTAGAAACCTGATTTCATCAACCCCTGGAGTCAGGCATGAGACTGGTAACATTGAAGAAATAGATCTTTTGATTTACAAATATGTGGCTGTTAGCAGATACAACAGTACGCTAGAAGGAAGGGGCACCCAGACCTGGCTGACTCGAAGCCACTTTGCACAATAAAATGCCCAAGCCTTAGAGGTGATCCATGGAGGACCCGGTCAACCCAGGGGGACTTATATGTTCCCACAGTCTGGTTTAGCTGTACGCAAAGTCATAGGTGGACACCTACGCATCCACCCGCAAAGAGAAGAAAATGTCCGTGCCCAAGTGTTGACCAAGGGGAGCCAAATTCCCAATGACAATCTTCGAAATCTCACCATGTAGCAAACCCGCAGATAAAACAATACCATATGGTCCCTGACGAGCCTGAACTTCACACTGTATAAACGATCGCTGTGAAGACTGATTTTATACCCCCGTGGTCGAGGTTGTCGAAGTACAGATCCTAGGCAGTAGCTTCAGCAGCTAGGATTTGTACTTAGAAGTGTCGAGAAAATGGAAATAATTTCCGAAAAATTTAACGAAATATCTTAAAATTTACTTAGACACTCAAAACCAGAATGTTATTTAGAATATTTTTTGAACGATCCGAACGAAGACACGTATCAACATTTGACGACAATTAGTTTGAAAGGATATGTGAGAAAAATTCAGCAGTAAATAAAAAATACCCAAATTGCATAATTGAAAAAATACCTGCTGGCTATATTGAATTTTCATTGAAATTTTTATAGACATGAGAAATTTTATAGAGATTATATTTCGGATCACATTAAAAGAGTGTTTAAACGAATTAAATTTCAGATACATAGCAGATAAATATTCGGATGCTGGGCTAAGATTTCATCGCATTCCAGGAATCATTGCGCAATAGATATCAAATGACAGATACTTTTTCAGAATTACACCAAGTAAGGTTTATATTAAAAAAATTATTGCTTTGCTGTTCTTAGAATAAGGAAGGTAGCATGCACAGGAGTTTGTTAATTTATTATTAGAAAGATTGATATTTTATATTTTACATGTATATAAAACTACTCTAAATGCCGAATAAATCTTAAATTCTATCAATTTTTATGTTGGAATGGAAATAAAAAAATATTTTAAGAAAAAATAGATTAGCGAAACGTAACAATAAATAGCAGATTTCTCTTGGAAACACAGGGGGGAAAGCAAAATGATATGAGTAACAAAGAATTGAACTATTAAAGTATCACATAAATTCCCAGTGTAGCCATTAATGAAGCTTTTCAGTCAGGATTCAAAGGCATTATTTTTTGTGCAACCCGCAATTAATACTATTTTTCTTTATAAAAATGATTGCATTATTATTCACACTTTGTACAACATTTTCTTAATAATTGCATTTTACATATTCTATTGGATCAATAAATACTCTCATATTGGTATGCGATGTTGAAATTAAACTTTGAAAACATTTCATAACTTTCAGATCTAAAGGTTGTGAGTTGCACCAGAATGAGGAAGTAATAAATCAATGTTAATATTTCCTCCGGATTATATAGGCACTACTTGATATGTTTCACATTAACAGTTGCAAAGACAAAAATTTTAAAAAATAGTACAATCTAGATAGAAACATGCGGGGTCATTTAAACATGGAGTAACGCTTGTATGACAAATTATGCCTTATTGTAAAATGGCGACATGATTTTGGGGAAAGAAAAAAAATCTGAAAGATTTCATATCTTAATGGTCGCTTAAACGGTTTATTAAGGTTTTTTTACGATCTTGCTGAGCTCGCAGTCTACCATTCTGCTCTTGCACTAACTCCTGTTAACCCATTTTATTTATTTATTTAATCTGTATTATTAAACATCTTGTTTTTAGGATTTACGCCATATGCATTTCAGCAACAAAGTCAAGTCACAAAACTTTTAAAAGCTGCATGCTTGACTGCATATGTTTAGAATTCCCAAAGCAATGTCAAGTGTTGACTTACATTTTAATATTTTTTCAGTTTATCCTCAGTTCATAATCTTAATACACTTTTCTTAATAAGATGGCTAAAATATTTTTGTCTTTTTATTATTTATTTATTATGTATTAACTTTATTAATAAATATCACGTTCTTCGCGCTTATGGCCACGTCAAATTCAATGCATTAGCAAATTCAAAAAATATTAAAAAGGTTTATATCTTTAGAATTCCTGATACAGTGTTAGAGGTTAACATGCATATTTTTATATTCGCTGTATTATTTTTAGGAATTAGGCACTCTCGCGGTCAGCCGTTTAAACTAATTATCACAAAGAGGAAAAGTACATAATGATTTTAATGAGTCCAGTTAGTGTAATTTTATAAAACTATAGAATATCTCTAATTAGACATTTCATAATCATGAAACATGAAATGTCTAATATAATGAGTCTGTTATATTTAAATCAATCATATAAAAAGAACAATTTTTTTAAGAACGGTGTTTACTGCTTTTAAATTGGTTAGTTTATTACCCAGTAACATTCTAGATTAAATTTGAAAATATCGTAGGCTTTACTGAATGGCAACACGCTGGATTGTGGAAGATAAAAATATTTTATTTCCGCCGTTGGAATGTATTGCTTTTGCAGAGCCGAGTTTCTTAATTAAAACTGAAAACAAATGTCTTGATCAAAACTGAAAGATCAATGTTTAGAATTTCCGATACACAGTCTCGCGCGCTGGTTGTAAAACGTTTTATTGCGAACAGTGCTGCCACTGCTCGCTTTCAAATAACTGAGTTTGTTGGTCTAAAGGTTTACAAAATAGGAAATAAATAATAAAATAAATTAGAAATTCTGAATTCGGGCTTCCAGTTGCACATGTTCGAAAAGAGGTCTACGTTATTCAAAATTTGTTGGATCTAGGTACCGTCGTATTTTCGCAATTGGAGGAACATACACACATACATGCGAATTCTTCATTATTTAATTTCTTTAAGCAAAACACAAGGCGTATTATTTGGTGGCAACAATTTGAAAAATGATACTCCGTTTATAACGAACCAGCTTAAAATCGCATTTCGAGACTAATCACTCGTTTTGGGCTAATAAATGTAATTAGATAAAAAGTAATTTTGGTGTTATGGTGAAGAGTTTGAGTTTATACTTTTTATAGATTTATTTAGTATGCTAATAACCTGAATACATATTTGATGATCAGCTACTGCAATGGTGAGCGTAAACAATAATGCTATTACAATTTTTCCGTACCAGTGTATTTTCGCATTCGTAGGAATACTGGGCATTTTAGAGGCTGCTGTGTAAGAATGGTAACCCCCAGTAGAGCGTTAATAGTGTATAACTTTTAAACTATATAGTAAAGTACATGTAACATAGCATAACATGTACTCTAAAATGTAAATGTTCTTGACTAAGTTACATTAG